ATTCGAATCGAGACTTCATCGGGGGTCCATTACTTTTCTTGGTAAAAAAAGTCTGGGGAATTCAAGGTGTCTTTTGTGACGGTTTGGTTTGTTTTGGTTTGGGGGATTCAGCTTTCTTTTCTTCGTTGATTGTTGAAGGTTTGGGGAATTCACCCTTCCGCAAAAGGTCGCGCACGTGAGCCTCGGATTCGTTTGGTCCTTCAGGGAGAATGGTTGTAAAGGTTTACGACATATTTGTATCAGTGTGTTATGCTATATCATTCCGCAGAGCGAATGAATCAGTTGACATTGTGACTCATGGGTTTTCCTTGAAAAGAAGCAAGCCAAACAGAGACTCCCTCGAGTATTTACCAAAAGGCTGGAATCAATTGAGAAGCAGAAAGGAGGTCACTAGAAACAGACTCCGCGAATTCATTAGCGAGAAACAGGTTGTCGTACTTAGCTCGTGGTTTAGGGGATCCCTTCCGGTTATTCCTAAATCTTCGGTCACTCCCTGCATGTGCCTTTATTGGCAGACCAAAGTTTATAGAGCTTCTCCTGGGACCCCGTAAACACACACCCGCCAAAACACCTCCAGATTGTGTATTTTAGTCTTTTTCAAGAAGAAGGGGGTTTAGGAGGTCCCTGTGGGGTGTGAAAAGTGAAGTTTAGGCAGTGAACCCTCTGTGCGAAAAGAAGGAAGCGACTGCTCAGCTTGATGCCTCTTATAAAACTCGAGATCCGCAATGGGCACACTCAAAGTAGATGCAGGGTAGGGGCCAAGCCGTAGGGTCTGACCAGAAGCCCCTTGGTGTTGTAAAATATTTTTAATAGACTCCTGTAGTACCAGGCTTGCACATGTTTTCTTTGCTTGCTGTTAGTGACTGCCGCGTTATGCTGATGCTATCAATGGCCCCCAAGTAAAATTGGGTCAGTTTGTGTCTTGGGGTGGATTCATTCGAAGCAACATCTAAGGACACATTTTCGGGCCCATTCGAAAGCAGGCGGCCTTTAATGGACTTTTTGGTGGCGCATTTTGACATGCCCACGTCTTGGAATCGTGGGAAAGTTCGACCCGAGATCTCCATTGATTTCCGCGGACTCGAATCCTCCTTTTCTTAAGGATAGAGGGGATGTAATTGACGCGGCAGACGATAGAAATAGCAACACTCCCGCATGGTAGTTCTGTTGCAAGGCGTATTATGAGGAATGGACGCATTACTTATAGCAATTGGAACTGTCTCACCTTTTCCCGGACATCGCTGGAGAATAACACTGGCACACCACCAGAACGACCGTTGACATCATCGGTACATCAGCAAAAGCCACTGGGACGCACTGCAAACCGGACCCCGCCGAACCACAACCTGGAAGCCACCGCTATGGCTGTGGCTCAAAATTAAACAGGAGGGGTTACGCGGGTTTGAGCCACAGCCCTATTGCAACCAGACACCACCGGCATCTGGCCGCGAACAGCAACCGAGCACCCGCAATCGGGATGGGAAGGGACAGCACCGAGACACCAACGGAACACCGCGGAAACAGCAGCCGGGGGACTGAGACACCGGCAAGCGAAACCACAGCAACTGGAAAAGCACCAGGACAGCAAATCGGTTCGCCACCAAGCACCTCATCAACGAGAGAAACAACTGAAACGTCTCCGGACTGCTGGGAAACCACCAGGACACCAGAAGAACACACCATCAAGATACCAACGGAACAGTCGCAGCCACAGCGTGCCGGAACTTGGCCGGACACGGTTTTGAAGGCCCCCAAAACACCACTCTGGCACTAAACAGGGACACCCTCCAAGATGCAACTGAAGGTTGACTGGTCCGACAGGACTGGAACACACCACGCAACGCCGGGAGACAACCGGGACAAAACTTAGTGCATCTCCGAGACGTCACCAGAACCCCACCGGAACATCGCCAGAACGCCACTCCAAGAAAACATTACCAAAATATCATGGAAAACAGGATAACACAACCAGGACGCCGCTGGGGGACAAGAGCACGGTCACTACACAACCAAAACACCATCACCAAAACACACAACCACCACGCCACCAAAACCCCCACAGAACAACACCGCGACACACCAAGACATCGCCAAACACACAACCGGGACACCACCAAACACCACTGCAAAAAAGGGACACCACACCAACCCGGAAAAAATAGCATGCGCGAACCCCAATAGATGGACACCATTGAACAATTAGTGCTGGCTGCTGATTTGTTAAACTTTTGAATTTCATGGCGGGAGGGAAGCCATGTACCTACCATAACGGCAAAACGGCCAACCCGCCGATGTTGGGATAGTGTGTGGGCGTTCTTTTTCTTGGTAACCAAATAATTTCCTCTGGCTACTGCCCTGGGGAATTCACGGGCCCTGACTGCCCCACCGGCTGACAGGTGGAACACCCTCCATCCCGACAAGTCCGTACAGGAGGCTCGCAACAGACGCCCACTGTCTTGCGCAGAGATGTTTTGTGAGCGCCTCAACTGTGTTGTTTAACTTTCGGAAGTGTGGTTATTGTTGCCGCTTGCGGAGTTTTGGAATGACCCTTGCCCAGATTGGGAAGGGAATGGATTGGCTCGGGAGTTAAGTTCGCTGCATCTTCTGACTTGGGCATCATCCAAGTGGGGACGTCCGCCAGGGACTCGCCAGATTGGTTCCCCTTCGACCGCATCCTGCTTACAAAGGCTCCTGAGCTGGGTTCAGTCCACGCAGCAATATCCTCATTTATGGGTGAACGTAGACGGCATATCCCACCGAATTCGGTTTTGTCATCCCTTTCCGTCCTGGTTCCCAATGTGTCCCTTGGAGAGGTGGTTTAAACATCACCTTTCGGTTGAAACATTTGAAGTGAGTTTGCTCCTGGTGGGGTGATTCAAGGGGAAGTTTTGGGAACTCCATTCCGCACATAGAGGGAGTTGTGCCGTACTTTTTCAGCCCTGTGTAATGTGGCCACGGCCCACGAAAAGTTCCGGAGGGCGACCTCATTGTGGCGGTCAACAATGTTGGCGAGAACGTGGAGGCGGAGCGGCAAGGGGGCTTGGGGCTTGTTCTTAATGTCTCCTTGGCTGGTTTTGAACATTACCTTCTCACTTGTCCCAAACCGACCTTTGACCTTTTTGGGTTTTAATATGCTGGTCGACTTTGGTCATGACCCCAAAATGTGAACTTGCTTTTGCAAGGACGCCAGTACAACTTGTCTTGAACGAACTGTTCTTTTGGCGTGATGTTTCAGGGCGAATGCAGGAAACCCTCGGCTTACTGCTTTGAGGCCTGGCCCTTGTCTGCGTTTTGGACATGCACAAAACGCAATCTGTGTTTTGTCCCACAGTGATACGTTCCTGGCAAAACACGCGCAGAATCTGGACCAAAATTGTAGGTACAAGGCGTTTCGTGAAGGTTTTTCTGGGGGCCTTTATCCCATGTCACAATGGTGTGGCTTCAAGGGTTTTGTTCGAGGGAAGGGCCGAGGACAACAGTCTCTTCGCGTGATCCGCAAACATCTTTCGAGTTTATGCCATTGTTTTGAAGAGGGTTGGAAGACAAATAGGCACAGAAAGAAACATGGTGCGTATGTGTAGCGGGGGATTCCAAGTGTAGCATTTGAGAGGGTCACTAGTTTTGAGAGTATAGGAACACATGCGGGACTATCCAAGTTTTCCGCTTTGGCTGTCCACGGCTCACACAGCACTGAGAGAACGAAGTGGTTTGCAGGCGTTTGATTGCAAGCTGGGACGTTGTTGGAAATTGGAACCGTGGTGTCACTTTCTGCTGGAACAAACAACGAAAAAGTAGCTGGAGGCTCCTTTGGACCCAAAGAGAATGTCACCATGTTGTCAGCTTTGGCTGTTTGCTCCTTTTCTCGAAAGGCAAGAATCAGGTTCCGACCGAACCTGGAGTCTCCATGACCCTTAAAAAATGGTTGGTCATTACCCAAAAGAATGGTTGGTCATGGACCCATTTTTGATTCGGGCCATGGAGAGTCTAGGAGCATTGGCTGGCCCCTGTGGGGAGGTACCTGGAAGATTGATGTCCTTTTGAAGGGAGCCCCTGTCAGTTGCCATGTTAGTTGGAGGGAGGGCAACAGCTTTGGTTGAGAGAAGGCAAAAACAAAAACAGGGGACTTCCCCCAGTTCTCCTCCCCCTACTTGAACCCCACTCACTTCCCACCTGCCCTCAGCCCTCACTTCCCCAGCAAGATGGCCACAGTGGTGAAATGAATGAATGCAACCAGCCCAGAGGGTCCCTTGGTAGCTAAGGAGGTCCTGAACGACCCCTTGAAAACCCCCCAAAAGCCATCCTCATGAGGTACTTGGACCCTCTGGGCACCTTATTTCTGGTATTGTTTTCCAGGATTTGGGCTGCACTTCCTTCACTCGACTTCTTCCAAGTGTCCTCCCCTTCTTTATGGCTTGTCCAGGATTTGGGCGCTAGATGCACTGGACTCCTTGGATGTGTGTCCACATCTCTTTCGAAAATATCTTCCAGGCGATGAGAGTTCAGCTGCAGCTGAGCGCCATTCGCATCACCCTGCAGCCCGCGAGAACGAGAACGGCCTCGAAGGCGAGGGAGCCTCGCAAGGACTCGCTTCGAAAGGACCTGTTGCTGTCGGTGCACGTGCCTAGACTCTCCATGGCCCGAATCAAAAATGGGTCCATGACCAACCATTATTTTGGGTACTGACCAACCATTTTGTAAGGGTCATGGAGACTCCAGGTGTCCCTTTATGCCGCCATTTACAGGGTTTGGGGGCGAAGTAGAACAAGTCCGTTTATTTGGGGGGTAAAACAAGCCATCGATTTCACGATGCTTACCTGGGGATTCCGTATTTCCGGCTTGCGACACATAGCAACTAAATAGATTAATTCAGTAGAAGCGCACACCCCTGAGCGTCTCAGAGTAGGTCGACCCAAGCACATGTGAAGCTTGGATTTGCAGGGCATGGTCAAGTGTCGGGGAGCTGATAGAATTAAGAACTCAGAAAACTACGACCACGGCCCACGCTGGAACAAAAAGTGCATGCAGAAACATAATAGATGCGTTTGTGGGACCATCAGAACCCCAGATGTTGGATGAGTCAACCAGGAGGGGATTCTCCCATGCTGGCTCTTCCCCGGACCGACGCTGCTTGCTTGTTTTCCCAAGTAGCAAACACAATTGCATGGGAGGCACCTGATAGTTTTGCGCTACTCCACACTGCATTGGGAGGCATGTGTGGACAAGTCATACACAGCTAACGTAACCGATGCTCGACATCTGAACCGCCCGATTTGGAGTCTCCAAGATAGACCAAGCAGCATCTGACACAACATTTTTCGGTGTAGCTCAGTGTGGGGCCAAGATTTGGTGCAGTCACGTAGTGTAGTTTCCAAGATCAAAGCCCAAGCGACTGCAGGTCGGCTCGCTGCAGACTCTGCAGCCCTTGCAAACCCTGCAGACCGAGCCGATGCTGTCGGCGGCTCCGCCGATGCTGTCGGCGGCTCCGCCGATGCTGGCGGCGGCTCCGCCGCCGCTGGGGAACTCTGAAGGGACCAGGCCTGGCCGGACATCCAGCGATTCGACCGCAAGCTTTGTCTCACTGTGGAATCCGAAAATGCTGGTGGTACTTCTGTCCATGGAAGCAGCCAAAAAACGGGCATCCTCAAAAATGACCCTCCCAACTGAAGGGTCCAATGATGCGGGTGATCTATTCTCTTGTGTCAAGAAGATTCCTTCGAGAATGACATTGCACGTTTCTTGCCACGATTCTGCTCTTGCTCCAACACTTCAATTCAATCCGGCCCCTGAAGACGGAACCGACATTGGGCATGGCTCATGATTGAGTTCCCAAATGGCCATTGAATGCCGTTGATAGGATGGAAAGCGGTGATAACGCCATTGATAGGATGGAAAGCGGTGACAATGCCGTTGAGAGGATCGAAATTCGTGATATATGATTTCCGCGTACTTCTCCAGGTCTTTGGAAATTGTTTGGGGCACTCTCATTCTTTCCTGCAGGTCATCGCTGCAGTCTTGCGATAGACTTGGTTGGCGCCCTTGTGGCATTCCTCTCCTTTCCACGGCAAGCGGGACGTGTGCGGTCCAGTCTGAGAGAGAGTGATGCAACCAGCCAAATGGGTTTGTGTTTAGGGTACCCTTGTTAGGTGGGTTTACCCTCTCGCCAACTAACATGGAAGTGCAAAAAGGCTCTTTCCAAGAGGAAAGTAGTCTTTCTGCAGGGGTCAGTGCACTTCCATGTTAGCTGGCGGGAGGGTGAAGTAAAACCAAAACGGAAACCACCACAACACTTGTTTTGAAGGGGCTTCTTGTGACACATACCCAAATGTTCGCCGTCCCAGGCTGGTGCTGCCACAGGCGGGGTATTTTCGGTTTCTCCGATTCACGCGGGCTGAGCCAGAATCAAAATTGGCCATGACATTTGAACAAGCACCCACCTCAAAAGTGATTGGTGGACATGAATCCCCACCTAAATGATGTCCACGAAAGGGTCCCTTATTAAAATTCGCTCCCAAATTTGGCGACGATATTTAAAAAGCAACCACCTTAAAAGTGTGTGGGGGGCCAGAAATCCCTACCTAAATTATGTCCATCAAAGGGGCAACCGTACACCAGGCCTTGTTTGTTGGTGGCGGGGTAGTTGAAGTTTAGTAGGGGACTGTCCCAACTATGAATAGTTGGCAATCCGCGCCTTGTAGTATGTGACTCAATGGGGGAGTTGCATGACACATGGTCAAAGGGGGGTATCAAACATTACCATTTAACTCTTTGGCGGGGGATGTTCCAACGGGGAGAAATAGGGAACCCTGTGACACTTTGGACGTGACGGCTTCGCCTGAAGGCATTTTCCAAGGACTCATTTAGGGGACATGTTTCTGGTAGCGCTCGGACGCCAGCGCTTGCGGTATCTTCTCACGGTCTCCTTTCCACTCGTCCCCGCGTAGGGGCGCCGATGCCGTTGATGTGTCATAAGCTCTCGGTTGATTCCCGACGAAATTGGTTTAGGGTAGACTCCCTCTACCAGGTGCTGATTGTCACGGTTTCATGGTTGTTCTTGGGAAACATTTTACATTTTTGCTCGTTGTGGTCTAGTGGTTGAAATCCCCACTAAACTTTTAAAAAATCAAGTTGTTGCTCCCCAAACCCAACGTCAACCAAGACCAGGTGTTGATTGTCACGTGTTGATTGTCACTTTTGTTTTTTGCCCTGAATCGGCCGAGCTGAGCCGAGGGCTTTCGCGTCAGAGCTGGTTTGGGCTACTGCTGTTTTGGACATCTCAACGAAACCAACAAATCGAAAAGCGCCTAGCCTAGCAGGGCTCCTTAAAAGATACAGGTGTATAATGTAAGGATCCCTGCCTAATCAGTAGCACTCCCAAAATGTCGCAAATGCAACGCTCATGTCTCGGCTCTGAACGAACACTCTTGGTTTTGTTGCCCCTCACTTTCCGCGCTCTTCCGCGATCACGCCAGGAGGTAAGTTTGCCATCCTGCCCCGGATGCGGCAACATGTGCTGGGCTCAGGACTTGGTTTGTCACAGATCGATCCCCCAACTCGGGGGATGCTCCACTGAGTCGTAGGGTAAGGATGAATCCGCCGCGAACAGTGTGCCATTTTCCCTCTACATCAGACCCGATGTGCCAATTGCCGTCTACATCAGACCTTTTAAGCCGGGGAGTCCTACGTTGCCCTTGGTGGCTTTGAACATCACCATTTTTTGGCCCAGTGGAGGTGAGCCTCCCTTGAAGTGACATTGGGTACTTAGACGGTCTGGGACGAATCGCTAAATGGATAGCAACCCTAGTTGCAGGGGACGTACAACCATTGTAAGTGGGTTACAACCAGGGTCACTAGTCCTTTAGCGATTCCTCCCAGGCCATCCAAATATCGGGAACTTTTTGGGAACCCGGCAGGCGTCGTCCGTTTTTTTCCCGCTGGGGGCCGGGGGCCTGCGCCATGTCCAGTCCTGCTCCAATGCAGGGGGCCCGTAGGAAAGCCTTCGAACCTAGCCAGCATTTTCGGGTAGGATGCATGGTTGTTGTTGAGAAACATTTTACATTTTTGCTTCTTGTGGTTTAGTGGTTGAAATCCCCACTTAACTGCTAAAAAATAATTTGTTGCTCCCCTTTCAACCTCAACCAAGTTCTGTGTACCCCAGATTTGAGGTTGCTCCAAGTTCCTCAAATTCAACAAAACCTCGAAGGTAGAACATTGGTGGCTGGATTCGTTAGGACTCCCTTTGCAGCCCCAATTCTGCCCTTGCATGGAGCAATGATGTTCTTGGTGGACAAGTTTTTGGGAAAGCAGAGAGACAATGACAGTACTCCCTGCTCCAAATAATGCATGTTTTTCGTTAATGCTGTTGAGTCAGAGGCTGATATTACATACTCTATAAGAAAAAAGTGGGTATTGGCTGTGGGGGGTATGTTTGATTTCGACCTGTGTCACTTATGAGTTGATCAGCGACTGTCCAACTTACTCATCCATGCGGTTGCAAATGACGCCACGTAGTATATGCGGTTTGCACGTGTTAGTTGATCTTGCTGCCGTTTCTCATTGTTGGGTGTTTTCCCCTTTAACCAGCTGGAAAAGGCTAGCCATTATTTCTGGCGACGCCTAGCCAATTGCCTTCTCTGTTGGGTGTGTGGCGAAATTGTGGACCCCTCCAAATGGTGGGTTTATGTTTGCGACTGTCCAGCCACATTGAAGTAGGCGCCTTCTCTCTCTCAGAAGCATTATTTTAGCTTCTCAAGTCCTGCTTTCGAGACGCATTTTTCTTTTGGGGGTGCTGTCGCCTTTGAGTCTTTTGGGATGCCAGGTTAGGGAACACGTTTTGTCACCTTTCGGCCAAGCACTCAAACAAGTCCTCGTTGAAGAAGCGGCGAAATGAGGGTGGCAACGAACCGATCTGGTTCAAGACTGGGAAGCGTCCGGCAAGTCAGAAGCAAATTTGTGTCACCTTGGTCTAGAGGCATGCCAAAAGGAACATCACCATTTTGGATTTTGACACCCGAGGGGAAGCAACTGCAGGAGGTGTGTTCATGAACTAAACGAATCACCCAGTTTCGATTCGGCTGCGTTGTTTTTGAATTGGCGACCCGCCAGAAATGGATGATTAAATGCTAACTACTGGAATCACCGTATTTCAGCTGTGGTGTCCGCATAAATGGTCACCTTGAGGCATGGTTTCCCTTCAAGCCCGTTGCCAGCGATTTGCAACTCGTTTTGGAGGGCTGGGTCATGCTGGGTCCATCTGCTTTCGTGTTTTGTGGGGTTTGTACACCTTGACACGGTGGGGTGGTCTAGACGTAATTCTCACATCAGCTGAAGCGGGTTTAGGCAGGTTTACAAGTTTGGTTGGTATTTCAAGCGAAGCCGAAAGGACAATACCCATTTTGGGGGTCCCTGCAGTCTCCATGACCCTTAAAAACATGGGTCATTACCCAGAATAAGGGGGTCATGGACCCATTTTTAAAGGGTCATGGAGAGTCTAGGTCCCCTTTTTGGAGAAACGCCCCATGCTATACGCGCAGAGGTACATGACAGATTCGGTCTTTTGCCGGAGATGTGGGCGGCCCCGCGGGAATGCGCCGTTAAGATGAACAGAGTCCGGGCGGTAGCGCGAGCTTTCGTCACACTCAACTGTGTCACTCAAGCCGAAAGCGCTGGACGTTGCTTACGGGCAGCGGGGATATGCGGAATTGTTAGAACTTGGACAGGAACCGTTTGTCTCAAACTAGGGACACCTCATCAATTTGTGGTTCTCTCTTGCCTTTGGCACGGACCCCCTGAAAGGGTACAGTACCCAAACACATGCGGCCCTTAGCAGCGACAGCACGAGACAGATGCACAAGCGGCTGCGACGGCTTGAACCATCAAAGTCGCCCTGTTAGTTCTTGACATGTTGGGTAGACCGCGATCCAGATGTTGAGAGCAATCCAGTCTGCTTTACACGCCCTCTCATGGGCACTTGAAAAAGGAAACTGCCCTTTTTTATGGTGATCTCACCGATTCGGGGTGAACAGAGCGCACCATGATGTGGGTCCTTTACTTGGTGTCCAATCTGTGTTTCAGGTTTTGGATTTATTGTAAAGTTTGCGGAAGGGAAGCTTTAGAATTCAATGAGTGGACAACGTAACAGCAGTTGGAATTTGAGCAACGGACAATATGACCAAGGTCTTGGCTTTGGGTGGTCCATGTTCTATCGCTGGTGGAAAGACTGTCGGGCACATGTCGTCCCCCATCAGTCTTCGGCAGTATCTTTGGGTATTCACATGTTGAATCAGGCCCAGCCTGACCCCAAGGCGCTTCGGCCCAAAAAAGGCAAGCCGAGCGTCTGCACTGCACGCTAATGACTCCTCCCTCCGGGGGCCCGCGGAATTGGTTGCGAAACGTGCGGGACGTTTGCGCTCGCGCCTTGTGCCGCCGAAATTCGGGTGAACCAAGATAACCAAGCAGGTCCCCTAATTTCCCCCAGCTGCTTGGTTTTGCGATTTTTTTGTTCTTTTTTGTTTCCTGCTTTTTTCCAGGCAGAGCCCCTAAACCACAAAGCAGGAGTGTGCTTTGTGATGGGAAACTGGTTGCAGCTGGCGGTCTTGAAAGGACAACTGAGACCCACCATAATCGAATCAGTTTAGACTTGAAGTCTCCAGTCATGAAAGTGAACAGGAGGCCCTTGAAGATGATGGAACTCTTCGAGGACCCTCCCGGGCACTATCATGATTCTTGGGTAAAGGGTCACATAGGGTAACAATGGACATCAGGCTTCTTTGGTGCATTTTGCTTGGATGTTAGGACAATAACACTTTTTGCGATCTACTAGTTTTATGACTTTAGCTTAGGACTTTAAGCAGGGGACTTTGGATTTGGATGTTGGATTTTAGGACTCTAACTATGGTGCTTAAATGTTGGACATTTAGGACTTTAACTTCTTGTTTCCCATCAAACCAGTAGAAGTTAGTCACTTTTAGCAGGGGTGCACGCGCTTACGGAGAAAAGAGTCCAGAGGTGGGTTTCGAAACCACAAAGTGACCCCCCCCCCCCCCCACCTTCAGGGGTCCTTTTTTCGTTTGGGAAACATCCAAATGGCTGTGGGTACCAAAAAGCCGGAATTCCAAAATGGGTTGCCCTGGTAAGAGGAAACATGGACCAAAACCCGCGGTTTGCCCCTCCTGTTTAATTTTGAGCCACGGCCAAATCTTTACAATGTATCATCCCCATTTCAAGGGGGATGGCTGGTTGGCTGAAACCCTCCTTTGACTTGGTTAGATGTGTTCTTTGAGCCATGCAAAACACGAAACTGTTTACATGTTCACTTTGCGCGAAGGAGTGTTTTCAACCCAGCGAAAGCTTCACTTGTGGCAGAGAGGCTGCCATGAGTCAATGAGTTAATGAGCCCTGCAACCTCTTTGTGACAAAAACATCCTGGTCGACTGTCAGTTAGGGAATGGCGCGAGCACTCCCAAACTTACAAAAACCTGGGCACACCAAATATTTGTATTTGTTGGATGTCCTTTTTGTAAAAACGCATATAGAAAGGGTGACTTTCCGATGCAGCTAACCTGTACACCCTGGTCAAGCTGCTTGCAACACCGACGGGCTAAGGTACCCATTGGTGACCCATAACTCAGCTGCCCACAGCCAACCTCTCCGCCCCAGTCTCTTTGCTTCGCTATGTCGAGCTTGAGCTCGCTGGGGAGATTGGGCCAGATGTTGCTGGCCAGTTAAGTCGAGAGTTGTGCATTGGCTTCGGACAGACTCGTGGCGACTGGAAGGAAGGAAGGTGTCAAAATGATTTGGGCAAGGTCCCAAAAGCTTCCCCACAAGTATTTCCAGGTGCTTTGGGGTGAGCTAAAGGGACCCCAAACAAAAGGCCGGGCAAGCGCCAGGGCTACCGGCAAGGGGTTTCATAGGTTGGGCAAATGAGATACAGTGAGCCAATCGCCTTCTGTGGCTCACTTTTCGAGTTCCTAGACTTTGAACAATTTTCGGGAAGACAAGTTTGGTGGGAAACACCACTAGTTTGGACTAGCTTAGCGGCAAGTACCAAGTTTAAAGTATTTCACTGGTAAACCAAGATAATCGGACTTTGTTGGGCCAATCCACACAGGGAGTGAGATGGGTATGGGTCAAAATGAAGCCACCAGGGTTTCCCCAGGTTTTCGCTGTTGGTTCAATGTACCAGGGTTCCTTTTTGGGTACCTGTTTTTGTCCCACAGCCAGATGAGCCACAATCAAAACCCGGGTAGATGAAGGTTAGTAAGGGGCAGTCCCAGCCGCCAAATAGTTGCGACCGCCTTTCTAATTCTTTACATGGTTCTGGGTTCACCATTTTTGTACCAGGTTTTGATTGTGAATCAGATGCATTTTGTGCTCCCGCGTTTTTTACTGAGACAAACCTCCCGCGTTCGCCGGTAGCCACAGGCTCTGAGGGCTCTGAGGGCGGAACTCATGGCTGGGGCGACGACTGAGGAGGTGGCGGCTGAGGCAGGCAACCGGCCGAACGCTTCGGCCGCACCTACGGCCCTCTGGAGGCAAATGGTTGGCCACCTCTGGAATAACATGGAATAAATCACTAACAGGGTTAACTCTCCATCCAAGCACTTGCCGACTTGGCCGGAAATCCAGGGGACAAAAGTGGTTGTGACATGACCTGGGTTGCTATCAACTTACAAACCTGGCCGCACACCCAGCAATATCAACTCCGGTTTAATTCCAAGGCCGTGACTGTGGTGTCCCCATATGAGTTTATCCGCCACTCACAGACGATCCTGAGTAGTATGGTCATCCAGATGAATGCGAAGTTGACATTGTCGTTTAGCACTAAAATGAACCCAACAAGTGTAAAGTCCACAAATTTGGAAGGGTGACAAAGGTGCTTCCAAGAAATGGGCAAGCCCTGAACGGAGGTTGCAACACTCCAGCCGCCTGGTTTGGTAAGGCGGAACCAACCTCTTTGAAGGCCTAGCGGCACCCTTTTCACTTCGGGCCTGCCAACAATGCTCCTCCAAACTGGGTCGGTTGATGTTTGTTCCTCCCCCAAACTGGATCGGCTGATGTCATGTTACCTTGGACGAAGTTGATGATGCTACGGTTGATGTCATCTTCGTACCTTGGACGAAGTCGATGATGCTACGGTTCCAGTTGCTAGGGGCACCCCCCTTCTCCAGCGAACAGGCTAGCAACACTGGCGTCTACGATCTCATCTTGATGTTCCAAGGTTGACCGAATCATGAGTAGCAGAATCATCTTCAAGCACAAATCTCATCTAAGTTGTGGGTAAAAACCAAACCAGCAAAACCAACAAAACCAACAACACTAACAAAACCAACCAAACCAAACCAAACCAACCAAACCAACCAAACCAACCAAGCCAACCAAACCAACAAAGCCAACAAAACCAACAAAACCAACAACCAAACCAAACCAAACCAACGGCAAAGAAGCAACGCACACCATCTCCTGGGAGCTTTTTTTTTTTTGCTGCGAGCGGCAGGCCAAGGCGCCGGAGCCGGAGCCGAAGCCGGAGGAGCCACAGGCGGGGGAAAAAGAAAAAAAACATGTCCCCCACGCGGAAAGTTAAAGATTGACGGCGTAGCAGAGGTGCATTTTGCCAGAGGCGGTTTCCGGACCACGTGGTGTCCCCCCTTTTCGATCCCAAACATCGCTCATGACCATTTCCGAGCAATAGTTGCAAAGGAGCAGGATTCTAGTCTGCGGGAAATTCGCAGGTCTGGCATTGGTTTAGTAATGCAGTCTGGGGAGAGGTTGGGTTGGGGGGAAATTATAGATGTATATATGTTGGTGCATTTTGCCGAAGGATGTGAGGACTGTAAAACGTTTTGCCAACTAATGGGTTTTCCGTATTAAGCCAGAAAAAGGTAAAAACTTTTAGCAGGGGAGCAGAAAGCAACCGAGGTATTGTGCTTACTTTAGAGCCTCCGGCTCAGTCCGCCCACATTGTCCTCTCCCTTGTCTCCTTCTTCCTCTCTCTCTTGTCTTCTCCCCCGTGTGTTCTGTCGTCCTCTCTCCCTCCCTTTGCTCCCCATCCTCCCCATCCCCCCCAAGCCTCTCTCTCTCTCTATCCCTCTCTCTCTCTCTCTTTCTCCCTCTCTGTCTCTCTCTCTCTCTTTCTCGCTCTTTGTGTCTCTCTCTCTCTCTCTGTCTCTCTCTCTCTCTCTCTCTCTCTCTCTGTCTCTCTCTGTCTCTCTCTCTCTCTCTCTGTCTCTCTCTCTCTCTCTGTTTCTCTGTCTTATCCCTGTCTCCTTCCCGTCCACGCCCCGCTACAGAAAAAAGGGGACCCTTATTCTAACCTCTTTACTGGAGAACCTAGTCTCTCTCTCTTTCTCGCTCTTTCTCTCTGTCTCTCTCTCTCGCTCTCTCTCTCTCTCTCTCTGTCTCTTACTCTGTCTCTGACTCTGGCTCTCTCTCTGTCTCTCTCTCTCTCTCTCTCTCTCTCTCTCTGTTTCTCGCTCTCTGTGTCTCTCTCTTTCTCTCTTCCTCTCTCTCTCTCTCTCCCTCTCTCTCTCTCTCTCTCTTTCTCGCTCTCTGTGTCTCTCTCTCCCTCTCGCCCTCTCTCTCTCTCTCTTTTTTTCTATCTCTCTCTCGCTCTCTCTCTCTGCATTGCAGCGTCACGTCCCCCCTGAGTTGCCTCGATGTCTGGGCACTGCCCCTTCATGAGCCTGAACTGTCTGCTTACTACTGGCTTTCCCCTTGATTTCCCCATCATGTCCTTTCACGTTTCCCATGATGTCCTGGTCATGTCCCTTCCATTCCTTTCAAGTTCCCCTTCATGTCCCTGTCATTTTCTCGGTATGTCCGCTTCATTTTCCATGTATGTCCCGTTCTTTCGTTGCGAGTCATTTCCCTACATCTCCCGTCGTGCCGATTGGTTGCCTTGTCCTTCGTTTCCATTTCATTCCCCCTGCACTCCCCTTGTTTTCATTTCTATCCCTTTCATGTCCCTTTCAGTTCTCCTTTGTTTCCCTTTCATTACCCCTTGCTTCCTGTCGACTTCCTATTTCCTCCCCTCATTTCCTTGCACTTCCTTGCATTTCCCCTTTGCTCCCCAGTATTTCCCGCAACAAAAAAACGTGTTTTCCAGCGTTTTCGCAAAGAATACGTCAAAAAAACGCAGGGCTTTTCCAGATTGTCGGCAAAAGGAGGCCGGAAAGCCAAACCAGCAAAAAATACCGCGCGGTACGTGGGGGACCCCCCTAAACCCTACGTATCAGACGTCGGGCGCGGGGGTTTAGGGGAGGGTTATCCTCTATCCTCTCTTAGGTATCCGACACGCCTCCGCAATGTCGGCGGATTTTTTGGGTTCCCGTCCCTTGGGGTTCGCAGGTCAAATTTGGGGGAGCCCCTTTTTTTGTGGTTTCCTTTCTAGGTCCCCCAGCTAGGTGCCCTTTCTCGCCGTTTCCTTTTTTGGTTGGGAGGGCTCCGAAGTTCCCCTAGTAGACTACAGAGGAAAGTTGGTACCCTGATTCTAACCTCTCTATTGGGCACCTAGAAGGGTTCAAGTCAGCTCCCTGGGGGGTTTTTCGAGGGCATCCAAGGGTAATTGTGGGGTTTTGCATGACTTGGCAAACCTTGTGGTGTAGACCATCGTAGCTCACTTGCTGAGTTGGACTTTCAACACTTTAGTGGTGAACAACCAAGCTTGGACTGTCCCCATCAAAAAATGGCCTTGCAATTTAGATGACAATCCTGAACGGTAAGCAATGGCCATATTTACCCAACCATTGTTTGTACAGGTGGCAACTACATCCCACAGATCTCGGATACAACTTTTTGAATGCGGCTTAGGAATGCTCCCTTTCGTGGAAGGGGGCAACTCGTTAGAAGCGCTAGTGGCCTTTGTGCAACTGTTTTTGGGGAGGTTTCGGGGTTCTCGGCGGAGGGCTTGCCAGGGGGACGGAACATTGCCATGACTTCTTCTGAAGGCAGCTTGTCGTTGCACATAAACTCCCAAACAATCGTTTTCTGCCCGTTCCGAGGTCCGGGTTTAGAGCATTCACCAGAAAATGGAGGAGATTTTGTTGGCCGCAATGCATCCAAATGATGCGGCTATGCCATTGAGGGAATTGTTCAGGGCGTGGACCCCTTGCCTGCATGGAGAAATCCGGTTGGCACCATAGTGGAGCTTTCAGGGGTTAATGATCCATGCCAAGGCAGCAGAAAGACATCCGGCGTTCTTGCCCCATGCCATTGGCCATTTTGTCAGGTGGTTCTACCTTTGTTTATTGAGATAGTCGAGCTTTCATCACCAGCTCTCAGCATCTTGGTAGAACCAAATGTCAATGGTTTTTGGGCTGCTCCAGTTGTTTGTTTGCGCTGCGCCCTCATTGAATTGTGTGTTTTGGGAGGGGGTATGGATGCATCTCTGATGTTTATTGCGCGGCAGACGCCTTTGACCTTAAGGCAAGATATTTGCACGCAATCACCACAGAACCAAGCTATATTTACATACCGCAAAGTTCGAACGAACCATCCATGAATTGCTCTCCGCTTGTGCTACTGTGGATGGACGAAATCCTGCACCACCTATGATACCAACAAACGTCCATCCACAATCATCCACAGTATGCCCAGTCGAATTGTTGGCGTTCCAATGGATTTGTTCTTCTTCCAGAGGCTCCAAACCCATCCCTCATTTTTGCAGGCTTCCCCCACTCAATGCCCCATTTCCTGCAAGCAACTCACTCCTTGAGAATCCGCTTGATCCGAAATGAGATGATCCAAACCGGAAATCGGGAAGCTGAATGTTTGGCTTGCGTGCTTGCGCGCAGGAGGCACCGACAGCTCCTCGATCGCACTCAGGGTGCTTTTTCGAACGGTCCGAAGACAGCGCCGCATGGTGTGTGTGTGTGTGTGTGTCTGTTTTTACCCGTTTTAGGTTGGTTTAAAGGGAGCCGACAGTCGGGATCCAGTATTTTGGCACATGTGTTTTTTCCAAGTGGGCTTGTCAGAAAATGAGGGAGCCCAAGCCAATGCCGGACTTTTTCGGAGCATTCCGGAACCTCAAAGCCCAGAAAGTTACTCCCAGACAGGGGCGGACATCAGGACTTTCTAGTTGCTTCAGAGAGGCTGTGAGCTACGTTTGCTGCGAGAGGACAATTAGTTGAGCAGAAATCGCTTCCAAATGTCAAAAAACACCAAGTCAATGAGTAGGCAAATGAGGGTAGGCGATTTCCGGACCACATGGTGTCCCCCCTTTTCGATCCCAAACATCGCTCAACATGACCATTTCCGAGCAATAGTTGCAAAGGAGCAGGATTCTAGTCTGCGGGAAATTCGCAGGTCTAGCATTGGTTTAGTAATGCAGTCTGGGAGAGGTTGGGTTGGGGAAATTATATATTTATATATTTTTGTGCATTTTGCTTGGATGTTAGGACTTTAACTTTTTGCCAACTAATGGGTTTTCCATCAATCCACTAAAAGTTAAACTTTTAGCAGGGGAGCAGAAAGCAACCGAATTTGATTATATACGTATGTATGCATATGTATGAATACGGTGCAATTGGTAGAACAAATTGGGCTTGGGCTCTGGTCAATTTGGGCTCGGGCCAAGGAAGACTCCTCTTTCCAAGAAACACTACGGGGACTCACCTTCTTGCGTGCCCCTAGAGCTTCAAGGTGACCCAGAGCATGGCAGTTGAAATTGGAAAACCCGTTCTGGAGAGGCGTAAACAAGAGAAACAACAACTATTTGAACGGCCGGTTCGATGCCAGGTTGGCACTAAGCAAAAGCAGTGTTGGAACTTTTTTTGCTAGCGGGAGCCATGGGAAGGTTATGACCACTAATGGTCCTTGGCCCCTAATCGTCACTTACTAATCGGCACTCTTCGGCAACGGCGTCCCGATACGTCACAAACCGATTTGTTCAACCATTCTGCATATGGACGCCGGGTAAAACAAGCAACTATCCATGATGTAAGGTCCTAAAGCCTCGGGGATCAGTTTTTTGTCTTTCAGGTTCTGGAATTCCAGATGAAAAGCGATCTAACCCAAATTCCTTGAACTGAAGGTTGTCTGTTTTTTACATTCAGGTGAAACTTCAGGGGTTTTCTCCATTTTCCTCTTTGCAACCTCCAAAAAGTGGGCAGTTTTTGCCGGGCACCGCCCATGAATTGCAACTTGGGAAGGGCACATCCAGCCGCTCGCGCGGCAGAAATGCCGTCAGGAGCGTGTGGAACTGCCGCCAGGGGTCGGGACCTTGATGCGGCTCTCATCTTCCAAAAGCCACCGGGGGTACTTGGCAGGTTTTCTCAAAATGATCTTCCAACCTGTGCAGAAGTTCCAACCGTTTCTTGGCAGACTATTTTTTGGGGAAGAGCAGTGCACGGAAAACAACATGTAGACTTGTGCTTTGCCCAACCCACTCGATCGGAAGTGCGTGTTTCTCATGGTTTCTATTAAGCAAGGCACTTGGAGCTTTAGTTTAGAACACTGTTTGGATGCGTTTTGGTGGATTTTATCTATTTGTTCTCCAGTTGGCCCCTGTATGTGTGCTCTTTTCGTCCGCTTTTTTTTCATATCCAGCAGGTTCGGCGCAGCCAAACCTCGTTAATCACATCAGTTCCGGTTGCCCGGGACTTGATGTTCGTGTCGTCAAAGTGTCACACCTGTTCTTTGGCGCATTTTGCCAAGGGATGTTAGGACTTTAACTTTTTGCCAACTAATGGGTTTCCCATTAAACCACTAAAAAGCTTTTTGCCAACTAAGTTAAACAACCGAGTGTTGGTTCGCTTCTTGTCTCGGCAGCTCGCGCCTCAGGTGCAAGCCTTTACAGCCCTCGCCCCAGACCGAAGTTGGCTCGACGCAAACCAAAGAATCGACTCGACCCCAAGAAGTTGATGGGGCGAAAGCAACTTTTCAACTGGGGAGTAACTCAAGACTAAAGGAATGTAACTGAAGTTGAAGTTCAATGTTTTTTTGTTAGTTTTTACCTCAGTTGGCTAAGGGGAAGTTCACCTAATTTCGTCCACCCTGCCATGGTTTTGTAGGCAGCCAAGGCAACCACCAAACCACGAATTGAAGTCTGATGTAGGCAGCCAAGGTAACCACACCACGAATTGAAGCCTGATGTAGGCAACCAAGGTAACCACCAAACCAGGAATTGACCTAGGAGGAGCGTGACGAAGGGTTACCTAGTGTAAAAGCTCGGGGTCTTTGCCCAGCCTCCAGAGTGGTTTGGTCCGATTTTGGAGCGGCTGCGGGCGGTGCCGGAAGGGTTCCAGGGCTTGCTGTTGGCGATTAAAAAAAACACCTGGGCAAAACAAGAATGACGCTGATTCTATAAATACCATGAGAAGAACCCAATTGAGCGATCAAAGTCCATTGGTGAACGTGCTAAAGGTTCGCACGGCCCAGGTTTTTTGGGTATCGCTGGGCTTTCTGTGAGAGAATCAAGTGAAACCAAGCACCTGGCTCCCGTCCCCGATTTCGAGCACCCCAATGGGATGTTGGGTTTGATTTCCCCCAATGGAAATCACGGGCTGGATACTTTCTTTTGCAGGCAGAGTAAATCTGGGTCGCTTACAGTGGTAGCAGTTTGAGGGGCATCAAAACTGCTTCCGAGGGGAGCTTCCCAGCAGTAGCCGAGGAGCGTGATAGTATGAGGGGCATCAAATCTGCTTCCGGGGAGAGTTTCCCAGCAGTAGCCGAGGAGCGGAGTTTGGTCAAAAAAGTGATGCGTCTGGCGACCCTGGCAACCAAGAAAGGACCGTCCAAAGGTGGGCTCTGGATCTGCGCTTTGAGCCTTGAGGTTCCAAGGTTTTGCATGTGAACGTTTGCATCCCTGCAGGGATTGGGCCATCTGGCAACATCCACTGGTACCAAGGAGGGTGCAGGGTTCCCCCCATTAAGAAATCGCAACATCATATCCCCAATTCAAGCCAGTGCGTGAAGGTGCTTGCCTCACGCCCAAAAGACATGCGCAGCATTTTGGAAGATATGCGACGCTGCTTGAAAGGAACCTTCCATCATTCAAATCCATCCGGCACCAAAAAGAAGACAGAAGTTCAACCTCCGTAGTGAGCACCCTTGATTTGTGGGCATTTGGATATTGAACATAAGCAGGCATTGGGGAAAATCGTTGGGAAGTAGCTCCCTTCCACTTGCTTCAGATTTGTTGTTATTTTCCCCTGTTGGTTTTAAAGGGAATTTGCCACTCTACTGGACATTTTTTGTCTTTTTTCCAGGGGGGTTAGCCAAATGGAAGGATAGATAAAACCCGAAGCTGCGATATGTAGTGAGCCATGTACACAGGAGCACTCTTCAACCGGTGAGGTCAAAGTGCCGGAGGATGGACAGCCGGGTTCGATTGTGGGGACCCAAGCGAAGACGCCGGCTAAATGGGTATGTGGGTGGGCGGGTGGACGAAGGGGTTGGGGGGGTGCTTTTGTTCAACTTTCCTCGTAAGCAGGCTACAACCAAGGTGTAAGAGGAAGAGGCAGGGGTTGATAAAACCGTGGTTGAACATCCAAGTGGGGGGCCAGTGCGCGGGTACGGGTGACAAAGTAGATGTAGCGTTTGCTTGATCTTGATCCGGGATCCTCAAAGTACGAGTTCCTTCCTGCCTTCGGATTGCATCATTTGTGCTTTGGCGAATCTGGATAGCGGTTCCGGGACGCATTCCTCCCGTGTTAATTTCTCTATCAAGACTGCCACCCTCCCTAAGGGCTGTTGTCTCCAGATAAACGCCTGGGCTGTCCAGCAATTTACTCCTCTTTTGCCCATCCACATCAACATCTAGGGCGCCTCCACACAAATTGCTCATTTGGGCATCACACGGGAAGGCCATGTCGATGTGTTAAGGCAAGAGCGGCTATTTTGCTTCCGCCGGTCTCCTCCACATCAAGTGACAGAGCCGGAGGTTTTGCTTTTTAACGCTGGCTTTTGGCGCTGGGTTGGCTTGTTTTCGATGGGTTGGGGTTGGGGATCGGTGGGGCCGTTGGTTTGTCAGTGCAGGCCCTGGTGCTTAGGGGACAAACCAGCGTTGCTTACAACAGTGTTCTGCTGTTTGTCCAAGACGGTGTTAACTCCAGGCTGCATCGTCCGACTTGCGGGCCCCTAGCAAGCGACTCTTATTTGAAGTTATGTTACGCCGTCCAGTCGGGCAACCCGGGTATCACCAATTGTACGACAAGCACTAACCCCAAAGGCAGAGGCCTCATCTACTTCTGTGGATTGCCTCGTCAAGGATATCTGGTGAAGCCTTTAAATGTCCAATTCGATTATTTGGCCTCGAATGGTTGGAGGAATGGAGCCCATAGGGTCGGTTGCGGAACAACCAAAACGTGTTTGATGTTGTTTTGGGTGTGTGTTTTTTTTCTTTTTACAGAGTGCATGTCATGCCCGCAAGGGTCCAACCAATAAAGCATCAGGTTCAACCAATACAACAGCATGCCTCGTTGCATTATTTAGCTGCTGTAGGCTCCGACAGGCTCGCTTTGGCCGAACAAACACCTCCTTTCGTTGATCCCGGTTGTGTGTGTGTATGTGTTTGCGGGTGTATGTGTTTTGTTGAGGGTACCCTTTGCAGGCTGGTTCAATTTTTGGAGGCCACCAGGAAAGCTACAATTTGGCCTCCTATTTTGACGCATACCCAGATGGCAATGGTTGCAGCTGCCATTGTTATATTGCAAGTGGAAACCATCTGTTTTTCCAACTGGATACATAAGTGGGGCCATTTGGGTGTTTCTCAAAATTAGGAGCTTTTCCCGGTTGGTTTCCTTTTAGGTTCCCTTGATTTTGGCATCCACATGGGGTTCCCTAGGTTGATCTATGTTGAGACAAACCCATTTTGTCCGTTGGTGTGTGTGTGCGTGGGTGTGTGTGTGTGTGTGTGTGTGTGTGTGTGTGTGTGTGTGTGTGTGTGTGTGTGTGCGTGTGCGTGTGCGTGTGCGTGTGCGTGTGCGTGTGCGTGTGCGTGTGCGTGTGCGTGTGCGTGTGCGTGTGCGCGTGTGTGTGTGTGCGTGTGCGTGTGTGTGTGTGTGTGTGTGTGTGTGTGTGTGTGTGTGTGTGTGTGTGTGTGTGTGTGTGTGTGTGTGTGTGTGTGTGTGTGTGTGTGTGTGTGTGTGTGTGTGTGTGTGTGTGTGTGTGTGTGTGTTTTTCAAGACCGTCTTGTCAAAAACGGGCCGCATATGGCATCCCTCGTAAAAGCTGCACAACGGCCCCAGGGTCCCAACAATGGGCTGTACTTTAGACATGGCCCCTCCCCCCCCTCCCCCCCAAACAAATGGGTGTGTCTTTTTTTTGGTGACCCCACAAAGTGGTGGTGTTCCTTTTGGCTCTCCTTTGACACCACAACAAGGGAGCACCTTACAGAGAGATACCTAGACTCTCCATGACCCTTAAAAACATGGGTCCGTGACCCCATTGTTTGGGTAATGGGTAGCCCTTTTACCCTTTTTTGGGGGAGGGTTCCCCTACTAAAATAGACCACAGGAAAAAAGTTGGTACCCTTAATCCATCCTCTCTGGAGGACCTAGGAGGTCTATAACCTCAATGCAACGAGGTGTACTTCACTGCGAACGGCCAGAACCTGCAAGCGCAGGCGCGAGAACGAAATATCGATCATCGATCGCTTTCAGCTCCCAGTCCTACGAGTTTTCCCCCAAAAACATGGAGCCGCACATGGGCGGTGCTACTGTGGATTGTCGCGAAATGTTGCACCACCGTTCAGAAACCCCGGTTTCTGATTTGATTCCCCCTGTAAATACCAACAAACAATGATTTCAATCATGGTTTCAAAGTGGTGCGAAATGGATTTCGCAACCATCCACAGTGTGGCAAAGACTCCGCAACCAAACCCAAATGGGTATGGCTCAAACTTTACCTCCTAGGGGACCACAGGTTTTAGTCCTTGGTTCCAATTGCCAGGGTTCCCTTTTCCATACCTAGCTTTGAACCGCAGCCAAATTCTCAAAAACTTCCTTTGACTTTGCTGTCATTGAAGGGGTTGTTCGATGTTCGAAGCCGATGGTTTGGCGACTCCCTCAGCTTCCCGGGTTCGATTTACCTTTGATATATTTGCCCTTTCACAGCTGATTCTGTATGCAGTGGATCAGTGGACGGGCAAAAGACACTTCGCACCAGCTAAGGAGAAACTCCTACAAATCCTGAGGTAAGCCACATGCCGACCACTGCAGGATTTTGCCCGTCCACAGTATGGGAGTCGTCCGAAAGTTCCCTTGTTTTGAGATATTTGATATGAAGGGGATGGCCATTTGGTCATATGTGCCGCGAATGCTCTGCGATGGACCTCGCGCAACTGAAACGTGTATGTTGTTTTGCAAAGATGGCGTTCCCCAGAACAAGGAATTTCTGACAAGCGCCACATCAAAGTCGTTCATGGCTTTAATTTTGTTTAGCATGATCTTGAGGTTGGGTTCAACCGGGGCCCCTCAGTTTCCTCCTTTTTTGGACCTCCGAAACGAGTTTCTTTGGAACCCGTCATCAAAGAGAAATCCAATTGTTAGCACCGTGATATGTTCTCAGGGGGCCTTTTTGGCCAGCGGCAGGGGGATGTTCCCAAGACATTGGGGAACCCTGAACCGCCGGGCGGTTCCCGCCCGGCTTCGAAGTTTCCCACTCGCCCAAATGCGCGAGGTGCCAGAGGGCAAGGGCCCTGGGGAGGAGCCGGGAGCTTGGCTGGTCAGACTGCAGGTTGTCCCCAGAGTGCCCTTTTACCAATTCTTTTTTGGGGGAGGGTTCCCCTACTAAAATAGACTACAAAAAGGGTTCACCTTATTCTATCCTCTCTAGGACCTAGTTGTGTTTGTGGTTCGTCTGGTTCGCAGAGTATTTGTCCCAGGGGTTCCGAAGGGGCGGGAGCGATCCCTCCCCCCAAAAATGGGAAAACACCGCTTCAGTTCGGTGCCCCTTGTGAATTAGTATTGGAGGTCAAGCCCCCCTCCAGCCACCAGTTCCCGTGTAATTACCTTGATGGAATCGGAATGGTACCTTCATTGGGGCCTGGTTCGTTGTTTAAAGCGCCCGGGGTACGCCCGGCCTTTTTCAGTGAGAGACCATCCGCATGTCGAAGCGACCGGTTGTTACTCGCATCCGGGGGCTGAGCCCTGTCATCGCAGTGCCACGCATTATGGTAAAACAACTACTTCAAGGTTCCTGATATGTCACCCATCATCACCCTATCGTGTCAAGACGAAACTCAGTTCACCATGGCCTCGAAATGCGATGTGCAAACCTTAAGCCAAACTGGGAAGTAGTGGGACCCTCTGTTTCCCCAGAGTAAGATGGGATCAACAAATCCCGCCATTTCTGCAGGATTTTTTTTGGGTGGACGAGAAAGTGATTGGAATTGGCTCACATCGGCTCCTTTCCCAGGGAACAAACTTTCTACCCCTGTGACAGGTTTTGTCGGAATTGCCTTGGCCCCCTTGACTGGCGAAAAGTGCCTGGCACACAAGTCTCGCGAAATACCATACTCTGAAAATGAGGGCGTTTTTTTTTTGTTTTTTAATCCTGGGATCCGAAGCTGGCGGTGTCTCTCCATCTTGGATTCACTTTAAAACGACCAACCAAGCAACAAAAACAACCACCCACCCACCCACCCACCCACGCACGCACGCACGCACGCACGCACGCACGCACGCACGCACGCACGCACGCACGCATGTTTCTTTGCAGCCGAGCGAGTCCAACGGCCACGCCAAAACCGACCTCAGGTTTTCGGTGCTCGTCCAAGCGCCGCCCATGCATCCCACGCAGGCGGGAGTGGCTAAGACCTAACGAGAAGCGCCCCCTTCAACCGATAGGCCCCCCAGTGCCCTTCTCTCCCCTTTTTTTGGGGGAGGGTTCCCCTATTCAAATAGACTACAGAGAAAAAACATATTGGGTACCCTTATCTACAGAAAACAATGGGTACCAACTTATTCTAACATCTCCACTGGAGGACTTAGACCCTCAGCTGCCATGTTAGCTGGCTCCACCTGCTGTCATCGATTGGTTGTGAGGCCTTTGACCGAAGCCTTGAGTTTTGAGGTCATGGGTGTGTCTCAAGATATTCCCCGTCCCCTACATGGGGTGGTTTCGGTGATGTCCCAGCCCAAACCTTTTGCAGAGCGGCTGGAGCGTCGCATCCGTGAGAGATGTTCAGCCGAAGGGGGGTATTGCGCCACAAGCCGTTGTTTGCCTTCTGCGAGTGCCATTGAACTCAACCGAGTTCCTGCACTGTAGACTTTGTGAAGCGAATGTCTGAAGTCTGGATCTGCGGAGCGCCACGGCAGGGGATAGAATTGGTTTCTTTGTCTTGCGGTTTGGTGGGTCCTGCGTGGTTGATGTGGTCACGCCCTGGGACGGGCCAGAGTAATCCGACACACACACACAAGGCGTGCTGGATACTGTTTCTGTGAAGACCATTTTAGCGGCGCACAGGGAAACACATGGCGGTATAGAGGGTTGTCCTCAAGCAAGACACATATTGGTGCTTGATTGTTAGATTGACGAGGGCCAAGCGGGGTGGGGCCAACACACGTCTCACCACCCGCATATTTCCATGTGAGGGTCTCCAGAATAGCCGACCCCAATTATCCCATTTGGGTTTCCCTTTTTAAGCAATCCGAGATAGCTTCCTTTTGGTTTCCTTCCACTGGTTTCCATTTTGAGGGCTCCCGCTCGCTGATTTCAAGTTTATGAGGCCGAATCTGAAAAAAATCCGATTTTTTTCGGTGTACCTGGTCATGGAACAAAAAGTCGCCGGTTCTTTTTGCCGATTTCTGGTGGCGTCCTCTTCCTGCGGCCTAAAAAAACAAGGAGTTGCTGGAGGCCCAGTTGGCCATCCCCTGTCTGTGGCGTCACCTTTCCGCGTCAAAAAGACATGGAACGAGTTTCACCAGGCGCGAGTGAAGGTGCCGGAGGGCGTGAAGCCTGGCGCCCGCCTCAGCAGTCTTTTCGGGATGTCGGAAATCCTCCCCGGTGACCTCCATCGAGTGGGCTGCTTCCAAATTTGGCTCTTCTTTTTTTTACATCCTGGGTATTGTTTTGAATTTTGAATCTATGAATGTTGAATTTGGTTTTGTTTGTTGTATCTCTTTTTTGGGAATTCGACCCCCATTTTTGGCATCGGCTTTCTCTTTGGTCTCCAAACACACACGAAAAACAAAAAAGGGGGCAGCCTCAACAAAGATACGGCATACCCATTTTGAGTGTGTGTGTTTGTTGTCGGGAATCCGACTCCCCAAGATGGCTTCGCTTTTTTCTTTCTCCCCGCTTGGTTTCCAGTAAACACAAAAACTGAACAAGAGTATCCTCAAAAAATGACACGCCCAATTTTGGTTCATGGGGTTCCCTTTAAAACCAACGTACCGGAAAAAGAGTCGACCATTTTTCGATGGCCACTTGGGGTCTGGGCTTCTATCACGGAATGATGCTCCCCTAGACAACCAATGCCGAACGGGTTTCCTGTGGTTTCCCCTTACCGGAGGGCAAATTTTTCTACGCAGGGATTTCGGAGCAAGCCTGCTGATTGGGGAGCCCTTGGTGGAGGTCATTTACGTAGTTAGGGAATGACCACACTTGCTTTTCGCATTGCGAATAATCATCAAAGCGATATGAGCCTTTGTTCAATGTAAGCTTCCATTGCGATTTGGATTGGCCTGGCAGTTATGCTACACCTTCAATCTAGATCGCCAGTGAGGCAACTTGATCCTTGTGACTCATTTTAGTGACATGTAGTGCCGACCTTCAAACGGGCTCCGGCAAGGGATCTATTGTCAGCTGAGCCACAATCAAAACTCGGGTAGATGAAGGTTGGTAAGGGACAATAGATGAAGGTTAGTAAGGGACAATCCCAACCATAAATAGCTGCGGCCGCCTTCCTTAATTATTCACATGGTTCTGGGTCGACCATTTTAGTACCGAGTTTTGATTATGATTTAGCTGACATGTGGAAGAATTCCGACAGCGAGATCGTCCGGGCAAACACTGGGTTTACTTCTTTGCTGTCGTGCCCCACCAGGGATGATGCATGACTAGGATTATCCCCTCCCCCCCCCACTTGAGCAACCCACCCAATACTTCCAGTTGTCACTTTGGTCGGCAATCAGGGTGCTTATCTCTAACTTTCTAACTTTCACATGTTGTTGTATTCCCGGTTAAATGAGGCTTGACCAATTTAAGATGAAACTCCTTAGGATGATGATGGCTAGAGAACTCTGCTGCTCTTGGGTTGGATCTGACTTTCACTTGTTGGATTCCCTTCATATTTCCTAACCAGCCAAAAGTCAAAGGTTTTGCTGGGGGATCTACAGCACCCAAGAGAAACGGCCATTGTTTTTTCAACGGAGGCTCAGGTTTTAGGTTGATGCCAGGTGAGAAGATCATCTTCCCGGGGCTGCGGCCTTGGACCCGTTTTTTGCGGTTGGAGACCCGCTACAAAAGACGGGAAACCCGGAGACCCTCAAACTAGACCCATAGAAATTCGACTTTGCTCAGAATGACTTTGGGGCATTTTGCTTGGATGTTCGAACTTTAAC